AGCCTAATATGTAACTCTAGGATAATTTTCTCCAGTAATATATATGCAAATATAACAAGAACAGTGTTAAAATTAATGCTTTCCCCTAATCATACCTTTGTAAACATATTAAGCTATGAAATATTACATTTTCTCATCTAGTAACATAGGTTATAATTACAAAACAAAAATCACACATAATTCCATTAAATAACATGTTTTTTCCCTGAAATTAAAGATGTGAATTCTAGGAATTAGCTTATGACAATTCCACGTAAGCACTTTGATCTTGGATGTTAATTAGTAAAAAGGTACACACTGCCATGAGGTTGATTCCCACTCAACCTATGATTCAACAATGATTCCCATTGACCCTATAGGAGAAGGTACACTGCTCCTGTGGGTTACCAAGACTGTAACTCTTTAAGGGACTAGAAATTCTCGTCTTTCTCTGCTAGAGTGGCCGACTGGTGGTTTCAAAGTGCTGACCTTGAGGTTAGCAGCCCAACATATAATCTATATGCCACCAGAACTCCACAGTAAAAAGGTACACTTGATTTAAATTACTTTGAAGAATGGCCAATCTGATCACTGAAGTCAAAATGGGTACATAAGCAAATGTGGTGAAGAAAGCTGATGGTGCCCAGCTATCAAAAGATATAGCGTCTGGGGTCTTGAAGGCTTGAAGTTAAACAAGCAGCCATCTAGCAAAGAAGCAACAAGCCCACATGGAAGAAGCACACCAGCCTGTGTGGTCACAAGGTGTCCTCTGGATCAGGTATCAGAAGACCCCAAACAAACATATATATTGATGCAAATGATGGGGGTTGGAGAGGAGATCCAGAGCCCATCTGTAGACAATTGGACATTCCCTCACAGAAGGGTCACAAGGAAGGAACGAGTCAGCCAGGGAGCAGCATAGCACCGATGGAACACACAATATTCCTCTAGTTCTTTAATGCTTCCTCCCCGCCACCCCACTATCATGAACCTAGTTCTACCTTACAAATCTGGCTAGACAGGAACATGAACACTGGTACAGATAAGAGCTCTCAACATATGGAATCCAGGACAGATAAACCCCTCAGGAACAGTAATAGTAGTGATACCAAGGGGGGGAGGGGAATTGGGTGGGGAGAAGGGGGAGAAATGGGGAACAGTCTACAATGATTGACATATAACCCACACCCCAGGGGGATGAAAACAGAAATGTGGGTGAAGTGAGACAGTGGATGGTGTAAGATATGAAAATAATAATAATTTATCAGGGGTCCATAAGGGTGGGAGGGTAGGGAAGGAATGGGAAAAGAGGAGCTAATACCAAAGGCTCAAGCAGAAAGGAAATTCTTTGAAAATGGTAATATATGTACAACGAGTTGGATACAATTGATGTATGGATTGTTATAAGAGCTGTAAGAGCCCCCAATAAAATGATTAATTTGGGGAAAAAAAAAAGAAAGAAAAGAATGGCCAATCATCACTCAAAGACAGCCAAGGATTCAAATGCATACAGTGTAGTAAATCTATATATAAGTGGCCATTCATATTCCATATAAAGAAGTAATAAAGGGAAAATATGGCCATATTAAACTATTCTAGCTCATTCTTGGTGTGCCAAAAAACAAAAGATCACTGATCCAAGAGTTACTATGCCCACAACACTCCCTTCCCTCCAGGCACTCCAACTGAAGATGGTCAATGACCCTAGACTTGGATTATAGAAGTTCAGAGTCTTCTTAGGTCATTCTCTTTCCTCCTTTTATCTTTCTAACACCAGTTCAGCTCATTAGAGTGGACTGTGTTCTGTTAGTACAGATCTGTGTTGCATAATGTGCCTGCTTCATTCTGTGAAATACAATGTTATGTGATTTGGAGGTTTGTAAACACCTTTATGAAAACCTTATTGTGAGCCTGCTTCCAGACATGCTTGTCGCCACTGCTACTGCTGGTGGAACTGCTGGGAGAGGTTCGAGGTACTGGTAGTAGCAGCAGTGGTGGGAACAGAGCAACTGCAAGCAGGGCAGGGAGGGAGGAATCTGAGATTGTTGTATCCCTTGACTGCTGTTCTGCCCACCTGTCTTTCCACTTGCCTGAGCAGCAGGAGCAGGCCAGCCTCAGTCCCCATTGCAGCAACCACTGTCAGGAGGGAGAAATAAAAACAAAACGACAGATTTTGGGGCCTCTGCTCAAGCCCTCCCTCAACTCAAGAACACTTTGTTCTAACAACCTAGCATTCTGTGTTGCTCACCCTCCTGACAGGATCACTGAAGACAAAAGGGTGCATAAGCAAATGTGGTGAAGAAAGCTGATGGTGCCCGGCTATCAAAAGATATAGTATCTGGGGTCTTACAGGTTTGGCGTTAAAACAAGCGGCCATCTAGCAGAGAAGTAACAAGCCCACATGGAAGAAGCGCATCAGCCCGTGAGACCATGAGGTGTTGACAGAATCAGGTAACAGGTACCAGAAGACCCAAAACAAAATAACATATTGTTGAGAAAAAGGGGCGTTGGAGCAAAGAGCCCAAACCCATTTGTAGACAATAAGACATCCCCTCACAGAGGGGTCACCAGGAAGGGATGAATCAACCAGGGCGCCGTATGGCACCGATGAAGCACACAATAATCCTCTGGTTCTTTGGGACTTCTTCACTCCCCACTAATCAGGACCACAGTCTTACCTTTCAGTTCTGGCTAGATGGAAACATGTACACTGGGGGGGAGAAGAGCTCACAACACACAGAATCCAGGTCAGATACACCCTTCAGGAACAGAAATGGGAGTAGCGATACCAAGATGGTAGGGGGAAGGTGGGGAGAGAAGGGGGGGAAAGGGGGAAGCAATCTCAATGATCAATGCATAACACCACCACCCCCACCTCCCAGGGGGACGAACAACAGAAACATGGCAGAAGGGAGACAGTGGTTGGTGTCAGATATGAAAATAACAATAATTTATAATTTATCAAGGGATCACGCAGGTGGGGGGGGTAGGGAGGGAAAAAAGAGCTGATACAAAGGGCTCAAAACAGAAAGTAAATGTTTATCGAGGTGTTGAAGGGATCAGGTAGCAGACACCAAAGAATAAAAACCATCATTGTGTGATCACCTTCCCCACACAAACGCTGAAAACGAATGTGTGCATAAGTAAGTGTGGTGAAGAAGGCTGATGGTGCCCGGCTATCGAGAGATATAGCGTCTGGGGTCTTAAAGGCTTGAAAGTAAACAAGCAGCCATCTAGCCCAGAAGCAACAAAGCCCACATGGAAGGAAGCAGCACACCAACATGTGTGATCATGAAGGGCCAAGGGGACCAGGTTTCAAGCACCAAAGGCGGGGGAGGGGAGGGGGGGAAACAAACCATATCATCGTGAATGTGGGGGAGTGCATGATGGGGACCCTATGCCCATCTGTAGACAACTGGACATCCCTTGCAGAGGGGTAGTGGGGAGGAGATGAGTCACTCAGGGTTCAGTGTAGCAATAATGAAACTCACAACCTTCCTCTAGTTCTTAAACGCTTCCTCCCCCCAACTATCATGATCCCAATTCTACCTTGCAAACCTGGTTAGACCAGAGGGTACACAGCGGTACAGATGGGACCTGGAAACACAGGGAATCCAGGACAGATGAACCCCTCAGGACCAGCGGTGAGAGTGGCGATACTGGGAGGGAAGGGGGGGGGGAGAGAAGGGGGGATAGAAAGGGGGAACTGATCTCAAGGATCTACTTATAACCTCCTCCCTGGGGGATGGGCAACAAAAAAGTGAGTGAAGGGAAACGCCGGGCAGCGTAAGATAAAATAATAATAAGATATAAATAATTTATAAATTATTAAGGGTTAATGAGGGAGGGGGGAACGGGGAGGGAGGAGGAGGGGAAAAGGAAAATGAGGAGCTGATTCCAGGAACCCAAGCAAAAGCAAATTTTGAGAATGATGAGGGCAACGAATGTATAAGTGTGCTTTACACAATTGATTATGTGTGGATTGTGATAAGAGTTGTAGGAGCCCCAATAAAATGATTTTTTAGAAAAGAGGGTGTCTTTATTTACAAAAAAAAAAAAGTAAATGTTTAGAAAATTCTGAGTTCTACAGTCATTTTCCTGTGGCATGATTTGTTCCTACCAGCCCCTGGATTGATTTTCTTTTCTTGTGAAATGCAGATGAAGCCTAACGACCGTGGATGTTTTCTTCCCACTGCCTCTCTGACACAGATTTGACAGTGTGAATATGATCAGGGAAATCACTGGTACCTACCACCTTGGCATGCCTCAGGAGCCCAGGTGTGAAAACCTACTTGAACAGAAGTTACCTCACACACTCTTCTTGCTTTCTTTTTAAAAAAACTATTGGGGGTTCTTACAGGTCTTATAACAATCCATACATCAATTGTATCAAGCACATTTGTACATATGTTGCACATTTATTTACATATGAATACAACTATGCTTCTACCTCTATCAATGGTTTTGCTTCCTAGATCTTTCCTGTTTCCTTCTACCTTCCTCCTGTCCCACTATCACGGGTACCCTTCATTTGCCTCTCAGTAAATTCCTATCAGCCAGATTACTGTTGCTCCAACATCACCAGGGTCCCTACTCCCCCCTCGCCATTGATTTTGATTCCCTAGTTGTTCCTCTGTCCCTGGCATTGTTTGCTCAACATTCTCTTCCTCCGTTTCCTCCCCCCACCACCAACACCGCCCCCCACCCCACCCCTGCCCCCCAAACCTTTGGTCCCATTGCTTTCTCCTACTCTTCTTTCTTGTGGCAGTACTGTAGAGACATTTCGGCACAAAAATGTAAGACAGCACTTCTATAAACTCCTAATTTTCTGCAGGGCTGGCACTGTCCATCGTGCCATTATTCCAACATGTGACACACTTGTTACAGGAACACAAGTGAATGATCTGATCCAATGAGAAAACGGTCGAGGTGTGGTTTTAACTGGTGCACTTGGAATGAGCTTTGTCTGCTTCAGGTTAATGGTTGGGTTAGTCAATTGTAGGTTCTTTGTTTTTTTCTGTGGTCAGGCAGGTGTAGACATGTCAGTTATCGCTTCTGACAACACTTCCTATTACCAATACATCATCAGGAAATAGTTTCCTTGCTGACCAGGAAGGAATAAGTGTCAATAGTATGGAAAATAGACACCTGTCATACTGCATGGGGGCTCCTCTCATAAGCCTCTTCATCTTCTCACTGCCACTGTTAGTGAACGTAGAAATAAATGTCCAATAGCTATAGTTTAAAGCAAAACGACGACAACAATAAACCTCCAAGTTTAGAAAGAAACCCAGCAGGCTTAAGTCATTATCTGGGAATAGATGAACTGCTTTGTGAGAAAAGAGTCATCCCTGTGGTGAGTGGATTCCTAGCTGCTGCAATAGCAAAAGCAAAGTGAACTCCCCCAGAATCCCTAAATTAGTGGTGTATTGGGTCACTCTATTGCCTTAAGCATTGATATTTCATGCCAAGGCAGTTTTCTGTCTGACTGCGCTGCAATCCCTAACAGCGGAGGCCCGGTTTCAACCATGACATCCATGAGCTCATCTTTTTCTGAGTGACGAAAAGAAGAAACTCCTGGGACGGCTGAGAGTTGAGAGAGACTTCTGCATTGGGAAGCACAGCAAGGCTGGCCTTTCTTTCCTGGGTTACGTCATTCAATGCTCTGTTAGTACACCCCAGAGAGAATCTTCTTCAAATACCAGCGCAACAGGGCACTTGTCTCACCCTGGGCTGGTGCTAAGGTTATGGGACCGTGTTTCCGGATAGGGTGCCAGCCAAATACATTCTCCTCAAAAAGGCTAGGTTCCTTGAAAGTATACTGTCTGCCAATAGATTTTTATCCCCTTATAATTCAGTTTGATGCCCTGACAGAGTAAATAAAATGGTTTCAAGTATCATCTCAAGTCCTCAAAAACTTCAAAACTTACTGCTAAGGACCTGATATGCTATGGTGAACTCCCAATTGCTCCCATTCCGTCAGCTCCTTCCCCACCTCCCAGTGTCAGGAGAGAAGCAAAATGATTCACTAACATCTGCCAACCACTTGAAACCTAAATGGGAAGGAACATCCTTAGTATCAGATTGGTTCCCCCAGGCCGGTAGGGACTGCAAACACCTGGGCCACAGGATGGGAAATCAATGCTCAGAGCACTGGCAGAAGGTTACCATAAACACACTCTCTATGGAAGGTTAGAAATTTAAATTCAGGCAATAGAGCAATTCAGGAGGTGTTTTTCATGTGCAGCACACAAAATGGGAAACGAATTTGTGTGTACATTATATTTTAAGTACACTGAAGTAGGCCTGCATATGGAAGATGCTTCAAAATGAGAGAGACCTTCATTGTATGAGGGTTTCTGGCTTATAACCCATTTCTTCATGTCTTCCAAAGAGTCTACAATGTAATTACACATAATATTTTAAAGAAAACATTTCCTAATGACAGTTACCATAAATCTCCAGTTTTGTCTCAGTCCTACAAAGTCCCCGAGCCCTTTCCCCAGGCCTCTAAGCAGTACTCTGGATGACAGAGTTGCCTAATCTCACTTCCAGAGCCATAATATGGTCATGGTCTCTCTGGGGACAATCCTCTCGCCGGACACAGAATTTCTGGACTCAGATGCGCCTTTTTGGAATGCTACTTGGATCTCGTACAGCTACACTCCTGTTCCATCTCACAGGCTCTCTTCTGTGGTTTCTGAATGTGGCATTACTATCTCGTCGGCTCTTTGCCTCTCTCCACTCTGTATCTCCTTTGTCCACAGGCTCACCATGTGTACTACACTCTTTTTCTTGTTACTGAAGTTGAAGTCAACGTTGCAGGTGAGGCACCAGAATCTGTCTCTTGCCCACATGGACTTCCCCTCTGCCTACCCACTGCTGAAGGCTCTGTCTGTCGTACTGCCAGCTCACATTGCAAGTGTTTACCTTGCCACTCCCTGGCAGTGAACCCCAAGACAATACCTTTAAAGAGCTCTCACTCACTCTCTGCCATTGAGTGAATGCCGGCTCATAGTGACCCTATAGGACAGGGTAGAACTACCTTGTGGGTTTCTGGGGCTGTAACTCTTTACAGAGTAGAAGCCCAGCCTTTCTCCTGAGAGTGAGCTGGTGGTTTGGACCTGCTGATCTTGTGGACCATAGCCCAAGGCATAACCACTACACCACCAGGGCTCCCATATATATTACAGAGCTGGAGGTGTTAAATGGACCAACTGCCTTGGTTCAGAGTCTAGCAAGTAATTCTCAAACCATATCCGCTGTCTTATTCAAGATCATTCATATGAGTGAGGTTGAGGGGTGAGAGAAGCTTCATACAAATGCTTTAGCCATCAAAGGCTGAGACTTAGACTTTATCACAATTTGCAATAACAAACTAGAAGAAAGTTTGGGTTACCAGATTTGTTCTGAGAGTCACTCACATTAAACTTGCGGATAATGATTCCATTCTGCTTTTCATAATGACCAGCTTAGAAAGTATAGAGAATTACTTTTACATCATTTCCAGAGTCACATCGCATTTATCTCCAAAGTTAGTCTCACATTTTAGAACATAAACGCAGTTTCCTTCAATAGTCCATGTTTGCAAGTCTCTGAAAACGACTGGCAAAACCATGTAGATTTGTCAAGTACTCTTTTTCTGACTTTAGCTAAATACTATTTTATGTTGTTCTACTATCCCAAGTTCAAATCCACTCTTTCCAATTTGGGGTATTAGCTAGGAATTCCTAAAACAAAGTACCAAGGACTATAGGTGCCCAGGATTAACGATATAATTTTAGTGATTCAGTAAGCTATCATTGAAAAGAATCTGTTTCTTTCTGATACTTTTATAAAAACTCGTTTTACTTTTTCATTAACCCATTCGACTCAATGTCATTTGGGGTGGGGGGAGACTTGAGAGGCACATTAGATTTGTTTTCTTATGTACAACACACTTTGACTTTTAAAGACATATGCTGCAAAAACTCTAGATATCAGGCAAGATATTACCTCAAACCTCAATATGAACAGATAAGGACCTAATGTGTTATTTGTTTAAAGAACTTAAGAGAAAGAGGTCCTACAACATTTTTGAAGATGCTAAAGGAGCCTTAAAGGACATAAAATTTTAACAAGGGGTTCCCCTGTTCCTTGAACACTTGTTTGTCAGGTGACATGCTAGATTAAGTCACACAAAACCTTCTCAGTGACATTAACGATTGTATTGGTTTTAGAACATGAGCGCTAATTCTCTATGTGATGCCATTTAGCCAGCCAAGGACCAAAGTATTTTTGTCTCAATGTTCTTTTGTGATTGATTGGCAATCACCAAGCAGTTTTAGCCAGTAGATATCCATACTGAAAACTCGTGTTTCCAGCTAAACCTTTAAAGGGTTACTTCAAGTCAAGAATGGTTTAAAAATATTTTAAGGAACTTCCACAATAACTTGAACATAAGCTTGTATCTTAGTAAGGTGTTAATGTCTGCAGGAGCAGTGTATTATTTACTGTGGCTCTTCTAGCCAGTTTCTAACTCCCATCAAATGACTTTTCCCTGCACAGGTCTGGGAAGAAGGTGGAGGAAGGTACTGTTAGGATTCATCTGTGAATAATTATGAACAGGATTCTTGGTGTGCCATCCTGCTGTGTATTACATGGGCCTTCTGAGAAGCAAGAGGAGGGATCTCATTACCAGCGATAGCCAGAGTGGAGCCCACCCTCTGGGCCCAAGAGTCCTGCGCAGTGAACCTCTTGGTTCCAGATAACATTGGAAGAGCAGCAGCAGGACCAGAGAATGGAATAGAGAGATAGATTTCCCAAGCCACAGAGCAACTAAGATAGTGTGCTTTTGTGCAGGAGGTTGGCTTGTGGAGTGGGGTGCCTCTGGGCAATAAATTGGAGAAGTTGGACTTGTTGACCCATGGAAGAGGAGCTGGGTGCCTTCAGGCTAAGGTTTACTGGAGTGGGGTGCCCCATGGAGCTTGAACTGAAAACCTTCTGATCGAGGCTTATGCAGCAGAGTGGTTTTCTTTGGGGCATTTATTAGTATATCTGAAGCTTTATAACATGTCTTGGTAAACAACTCCCTTGAGCATTTCTCACTGATATCACAACTTGTTAACTTTCTTAATAAGCCATTTTGCAGAGTGGGGACATCTGCAGACAACTGGACATCCCCTTAAGGAAGGTTAGTGGTGAGGAGACGAGCCAGTCAGGGTACAATGTAGCAACAATGAAACATATAACTTTTTCTAGTTCTTAAATACTTCCTCCCCACCACTATCATGATCCCAATTCTAACTTACAAATCTGGCTAGACCAGAGGATGTACACTGGTACAGATAGGAACTGGAAACACAGGGAATCCAGGACAGATGATCCCTTCAGGACCAGTGGTGA